CAGAGGGTTTCCAACGGCTATGGAGCGGTGTGTTTCTGAAGCGTCAAAGATCCGCTGCTCTGACATATACTTTATGTTAGGAGCTGCAGCGTAGCGCTTCCACACCGCTTCCACATCCAGTGGAAATCCAGTGTTAGTATTGCTTAATATCTTTTCTTTTATTCAATTTTTTTTTACAAAGTATTGTCTTTTTATAAACTCCATTTATGGCAGGTTTGACACCTGATCAGGATCAATAGAAAATATGTTGGATCCAATTTTTTATAATTAATGAACTCTGATCTTTCTTATGTATTTGCCTGCCTAGGGACTACGGATGGAAACTAGCTTTGTAGCTATAATCCGGCATATTTACATTTGTTTTTATACTGATGTTTATTAATGTGCATTGTCCCTATTCAAATAAATAAAAATAAATAAATAAATGATCCAGAATCACATGGTGTTCCTGAGGACGTAGGCAGAGGAAAGGATTTAGCTTCTCAACCTCAAACTAAGTATGGTTGGTAGTTGGACTAAAGGTTAACGTTAAATATAAATAGGCAAAGGTTTACAATTTGAATTTGGCCTATTTTTCCTTCTTATTTTCGGCCTTAAAAAGGTTAAAAAAAATAATAGTCAATTAATACTAACTGATACGAAAGGCTTACATCCTGATACATTTTTCACTCCCATCCACCAGCTCTCCCTCATTGCCATCACCCTAATCTTTAACTCCTTACAGCGATTCTCTGTCAACATCAAGAGACTCTGGTTTGGACCCTCCAAAACATTGATTTTATTTCCATAAAAAAATACATATTTTAACCCTGAATAGGGCAGTGATGTTATTAACTTGAGTCTTTGTTGTGCAAAGCAAGCATAGAAATGTTTAACTAGAGGCATAACTGGGGGATCTGTTTGTTCAGCTGTTCTGAGCTGTGTTACAGAAGTGTATTCATATATATATATATATATATATCTATACACACACACACACCTTGTCTTCTATATTTTAGATTGATTGGAGGTTCGGACTACAAGCTGATCTACAGACACTACGCCACGCTGTACTTTGTGTTTTGTGTCGACTCTTCAGAGAGTGAATTGGGAATTTTAGACTTAATCCAGGTAAAACCTTGTCACTGTCTCCTTTTGGTGTGTTTCTTTTTGTGCTGTATTATAATACGTATGTTTTATTTCAATCTCAGGTTTTTGTGGAAACGCTGGATAAATGCTTTGAGAATGTCTGCGAGCTTGACTTAATTTTTCATGTAGACAAGGTAGGAGTTGGTTTTATCTCTGTGTCTCTGTAGTGTTTATGATTCTGTTTGTTCGCGCCTCATCTTGAATATTTATGGCACTGTTGTAATAATACCCTTTATTGCCTGATTTACTGTACTGTGTTTGTCTGGTGAAAAGCCACAAGTTAAAACATGTTACACAACTGATTTTATGGATTTATGATGGAAAGCTTCCTGAATTCAACCTAAAAACAGAACGTTCTGTTGATTAGATATCGATTTATGAGGTCATTGGTTTAGTACATGATTAGATTAATTATTTTTGTAGAATTTATGGTATTTTATATGATCAATCATTTTAAGAGGCCATGTTGTGTAATTCAGAGCTGTCAAACATTTTTTTTATTGGTCTTATTGGACAAAAATATTCATACCCTTAAACCATTTTTTCACAATTTAAACCGAAACATCTATGAAACTAGGGGGTTTATATGCGTTTGCCCAACATAGTGAACAACAAACCGGTAAAAAGAAAATGAATGTATGATTGTTTTTAGATTTTTTTATTTTTTTTTTAACCAATAAAAATCAGAGAAGTGGGGCAGGCATTCGTGTTCCAGCTACTTTCACCCTGATGCCCTCAAATGAACTCTGGTGTTCCTGCTTGTCTCTTAAATTTATTGATCTCACTAAAAACAGTGTAAGAATTCCTAAGTCATTCCCATGAGCCTATGGTGATTACTTTTTATTTAATTAAACCTTAAACCTACAGAACCATAACTTTTCTAACCTTTACAGCTTGGGAATGGATAATTTTTGCAGGCTGCTGTAAGGTGTCATACATCATGATTATATTGGGACTGTTAAGATAAATTAGTAATATAGAATGGAGCAAATGTTTAGATATTCAATATCTAAACTTTAACATAACATACCTTTGATTCTCTTTAACTTTTCACATAAAGAATAAGGAGGTACCAATGATGCCTCTATAGGCCCAGCTGATGCAAGTGTCACTTTCTTAGGTCTTGGTTACTTTACAGACTTTAAAGCAGTGGTTTTCTGGACCAACTGTTTTTGGTATTCCCCAAACCCCCCCCCCCCAAGCATGCAGTGATGCACTGTGGTCCAGTAATACCAGCACCTTGGTTCCTCCACAGTATGAATTTATACCGATGTCATCAAAACCCTTGACACTCTGTCAGTCTCTGTGCTGTGGTAAGCCTGAAGGCCTGACTGGAAGATGTCAAAGCGGCTGGTCGTCTTTAGAAAGCTGTTTGAAACCCAGCTTTTCCACTAATCCTACTGATGAACTGGAGGTTTGAGATGGGCCTGTAGTTCTGCAGTAGCAGAATTAGAGAATTTCTGTGGAAAACTGTGGATAAAACATCAAGACAGCAAGAAGAATAGCTTAGTTGGCTTTGATTTTTTCCCCCACACCTTTAAACTGCAGTAGGGATTTCAGCCCATAAGGGGGCAGCATTAGGACAGACAGCCCACCAGGAGGAACCTGTCTTGTTTTTTTCTCTAGTTTGCCCCTCGTGTTGCTTTCAAAACACGGTTAATATTTGAGTAATGGTCTTCAGACGTAGATGCAATGTCGTTGTTTTGACCCGGTAAGTTGATTTTCTTCAGCTGCTGATGGCATTACGGTGTTTAATATAATAATACTGCCACCTGTTGTCAAAACACGTAAATGCAGCACACTTCTGCTTGTTTGCTAGGTTGGACCCAATTATCATGGACATGCCTGACATCACATCCCCCGAACATTGCGGGAATTTCCGACCCATTGTAAATTCAGAAAAATAGGCTGCAGGCTTCAGGCATCAGTGCTGAACTACTAAGATGTCAGTCTGCTCACCAAACAATGATTCAGTCAAACAGGCTATTTAAAAGATCTTTTTCAGTAAAGACTCATGACATAATGTCTCTTCAATGCATATCCATCCATTTCTGTCACACTTTATCCCTGTGGGTGTCGCGAGGGTTGTTGGTTCCTATCTCGAGCTGTCTACAGGTGAGAGGCAGGGTACACCCTGGAGAGGTCACCAGTCTATCGCAGGGCAGTCTATCTTTAATGCATAGCCAACGGCTAAACGCACTGAAAACATATTAATGACACACAAAAAAAAAAAATATCTAACAAAAAAATGCTGCCAAAAAAAGCAACTCGAAGATTCTGCAAATGCAACAGTAATTTTAAAAAGCTGTATACTTGCTCTACAAAAAAAGATTTACACCAGACCACTAGGTGGGAGTCATCAAGGGGAAGATGGGTAGAAAGGTACATGTTGGGATGCAAATTGACCCCCAGCTGTAGGTGTGTTTTATTGATATGTCAGTAATTGTGTACATATAACAAATGTTCACTCATTTGTCTTAGACTTAAAGAATTAAACACTTCTGTGTTGCGAATGTATCCTGCTGCAGGTGCACCACATTTTAGCAGAGATGGTGATGGGTGGGATGGTCCTGGAGACCAACATGAATGAAATCATCATGCAGGTGGATGCCCAGAACAAGATGGAGAAGTCTGAGGTAAGCGCTTCTCTGCCTGTTTGTTGGCTTGATCTGCCTCCACATCTCTGAGGCCTTGTGTACAGAATGCAGGCATGTGTGTTATGCTGCAACCTGCATGTTACTCTCCAGAGACATTGTCGATGCTACCGACCAACTTCAGAGTGTTTGTGCTCTTTTCAGCCTCCTTCTCTTGCTGCTTCACTGCTTCTTAATTTTTCTTAGCATAAACACAAATTAATAAACAGATTTATGCATCTTGTTCTTTTGCCCATTATGCAGCGTTTCTGCAGAATCTGTCACAGTTAGATCCCACATCCTTGAAATTTGGTTTATGGTTTCTGCTGTGTTATTATATAAAAATCTCAGTTTGTTTAAAATCTCTTGGAACAAATCTCAAAGTGAGTGTCCATGTTTAGATGTTAGTTTTATACAGATACATCCTTTCACCACACAGCTTCTGCTTTTAATTTATGATTTGATTTATGAAAAACTAAATAAAAAATAACCAGAGATGATTTAACCAGATCAGTTTTCCCTTTGGACTTTGCGATGTATGACCATAAATGACCAAATCGATGAAACCAGGTTGGCTGCTTTTGTGTTTTTGAAATCTAAAGTCATTTTTCTTTACATTAATCTGAATTTTATTGTATGCTTTTAGCCAGTTAGATAATTTTTTTGTGTGATTAGCAGCCTTGTAAGCAGTCTTTTACTGTTCTGGCATCAAGAGCTGTTCTGTCTTTTTCCTTTTGGACCTATCGTAGACCACGGTGGTTTTTATACAATGATGCTAATTCTATCTGATACCGTTGGTTTAAAGGTCAAAACTGGATGAAGCTGTCCACCTTCCAAACTGATGAATTTTTCATACCTTTAGGCTATTGTATTTCACATACATTAAAAATAAAAATTAACAGAGAAATATTGATGTTTCTTCTTCCAGATGTGGTGTACTATAGGTCCTATCACTATCTGTGGAGATAAACTGTAATTACTTTAATCTGCTTTAACATTCCTCATTCCTCTTTTTCCTGACCCTGTCCAGTTCTTTCCATTCTTCTCTCTCTTTACAGACCTTTATCTTTCAGTCTACCAGGCAGGACAGGTAGACACAGGTACTGATAAATCTACAACCAAATACTGTAACCTTAAATGAAGTTTTTTTACGTCCCTTTGAGTCTCTCCACACAGCCTTTCATCTAACTGTAAACTGGCGTCACTAACATATAGTAGGAATCTTTCACGACAGACCCAGAAACACCCCAGTTTTATCTCAATAACTAGGACCAAAAAGCGTTCCCTTTATGTCTGACAGCAGGGTACAGTCAAACTATTACAATTTTACAATATATTCTATTGAATATCTGTTCAGACTATAATTGCTTCTGTATCCTGGCCCTCAGGGTCTGATTTTATGCATGTTTTGTTTTATTTTTCTGTTATCATAAAAGTGACTTAAATGAAACTCTGATCAACAGGTTCATAAAGCATGTGTAGGTTAGGGAGTTTTTGGTTTTTGGGAACTATTGGCCTTTGAAAGATTTTATTTTTCTAATGTCATTAATGTGTTTATTTGACAATGAAAAATGTCCATTAATCAAAATGTGAGCATGCCCAAAATTATATAAATTAAGCTAATTTTCAACTGTAATCAAAGTAAATAAAGTCAATAAAAAAGTTAAAGTAAAAAGTAAATAAAAAACAAAACAACCAATTAAAAACCTTTAGATAACAATCTTCACATACAGAAAGCATTCAGGGAAGAAAAAAAAACATGCAACCAATATTTACATTTCTTATGAAGATTAAAATGTTCACCAGATGCTATGAGAAATATGCAGTAGAAGTATATAAAGTTTTACTAGTTTAGAAAATGGCAGCAATGCAACGAAATGTTTTTTTTAATGCAGTTGAATCCAGTTTGTCTCTTTGACAGAGACACAAAGGACTGTAGGCCTTGAGGACCAGGGTTCAGAAACACTGATTTAAATTATATCGCTATCAACCTGCACTGGCTTTAGTTAAACATTACAGTAAGCAAAGCATGAATAAGGAAACTCCGGTTTGAAAGATTTTTTTTTCTCTTAAGGATCTTTACTAGTAAAATTTAACTTTTTGAGATGACTGCAGTTTGGTTTGGCAACATAGTTTTTTTTTTTTAAGCAAGCTGATTGAATGTTTGATGTTTCTAATATAAATATACAGGTGGAGTCTTCAGAACCACCAAACTGAGTTATAATAATTTCGCTTTAAATGGACTAAAATATCATAAAGATAAAAAATTTAGGTGATTCAGTTTCCTTTTTAATACTGCCAACGATTGTATTTTTGATTGTTACTTTGATGGTTGGTCAGCAGGATCACTTGGATAAGTTGTGTACAGATTTTAATGCCATTTTTACCAGAGGTGTCCCTCATGCCATGAGGCAAAAAATTAATATCATGTATGAGATCATGTATGAGATTAAGCTTTAAGTGTAGATTTAGGGTTGATGTGTGGAATTTTGATGATCATTTCAGGAATAACCAAAGTTAACTGTAAACAGTGGTGTTGAGATCTCAGTTGAGCCTATAATAGAAGAATACATTTATTTATTCATTAATATAATGTCAATTCACATATGTAATCTGTTATAGGATCACTTCAGTCAAATTATACGATTGAATTGGTTTAAAGTTTTCTGTCTGGAAACCCAGCTGATTGCAACAAGTCACTGATTTTGCAGAATTCACTCCTCTTGGATGAGCATGTAATGACTGAAGAGTCGCTTGTATAGTGTCGTTGACTTTTCAGCAATCACCCAGAAAGAGCTTTTATGCAGCAACAGTAGGAAGGAAAAAAAGCTTCCTTTTTTACACTAAGAAACCTTCATCAGAACCAGCCCATCTGCTGCAGCTGATTAGGGGTTTAAGAAGACAGTCACAGGAAAGCAAAAAGAACATAGAAGCAGAGATTAATAATTATTACTTTGTTAGAGTAGGTAGTGGGAATTGGAATGAGAATTCAGGTTTAGGGTTTTTTGGCTGCAAACTACAGCGTGTTACAATAGCTGTTTGCTTGTGTAGTTGGACCAACTGGAGTCTTTCTTGGACCTTCATGATGTGGAATATTAGGACAACAGGTCTATAGTCACTGAGGACTGTTGGCTTAGTTTTCTCTGTACTGGAATACGGCAAAAGTTCTTCCACAATTGAACTGCCTCCTGGTTCAGCTAAGGTTGAAGAGGTACTGTAGAATCCATTCTGCACAGGCCTTCAGCACTCTTGAGCTGACACCAATTAGACCTGGTGCCTTTTTGCAATTAGAAACAGACAGGTAGAAGGTGGAGGGAGCAGCACCATCTTCTGATTCAGTTGAGAGCAAATTTAGAGAACCAGGAGGTGGACGATGAAACCTTTGAGGTGTGAGAAGAGGCTTTGGATCAAAGAAGGCTTAGATGTCTGTTAAACTGAGGGCAGGAATGAAGGATCCTGAGCTAAACCTGTTGAAGAATGTGTTCAGTTCATTGGCCCTGTCTTTTTTTTTTTTGTCTTTAAAGTACCAGCCCCCATCTTTATGCAATAGAACATGACGATATTCAAATATGGAGCTCATCAAAGGCATATGTGCTATGAAGGCATTACAATGCTTAATGCTCCAAAAAAAAAAAAAAAACTTACCCTCTGCACCATCAGACCCTTGTGAAATATTTTCAAGACAAGATGATAGTAAACAGTGTGGCTGCAGTTTAACAGACACCATATACTGCCATAGTCTTCTGATGCCTCATACTGTATATGGTGCAGAAAATTGGATCACTGTTTTGTATTGAAGCATACATACATTTGTTCATCAATAAGTAGTACTTGGTGTTCAGTTCAACTTCCAGCAAGATAATGATTTCTGTCTTCTGAATACTGCACTCATGTGCTGCATCAGCATTCCTATCCTGTGACCTGGCTGTCAATTCCTGGCAGAGGAAAGAATCCGCATTGGACCAATAGCCTATTTAGACAACCTTGTGAAAGAAGGGCTTGGATTTATCCACATGCCAGACATACTTTCCCTCACTCTGACTTTTTTTTCAAAACATGTTTTAAGTGTTTATTCTCAGATTAAAAAAAGTAAAATAAGTCATTTTGGTGATTTATGGGTCTGTCGGCTAAAGATTCAGTTTGGAGGTCTCTAACTGCAGTGATTCTCAAATGTCTGCTTAGCTATAGGCAAAGAGTGTTCACCCTCTTTAAATGTTTAAATGTTCTAGAAAATCTAATCTAATGGAGGCCAAATTTGCCTTGTCATTTTATCTGTTGAGATTCACTCTGTTAGAGTGTAGTTCCTCCTTTCTCCTCAGAGTAGTTCTCACCTTGTAGTTGAATTTTATTAGGCTAAAGATCTTCTAGTAGCATCACTGATAGATGTTATCTGTTTCTATGCGAACAAAGTTTAGGTAGATGCACATCTCAATAAAATGGAATAGCAAATTTTGAATCACTCAACTATATTTTTGATGATATCCTAATTCACTGAGATGTGTCCTTATATGTTTACATGCCACAACATTTATATCTCTACTCACAGAAATGTGTTTTACACAGAGAAATGGTAGCTACAGTCATTTATAGGCTTCAGCCTACTAGAGGTACAGTATCACCTGCATTATTATGCATAATACTCAGACGCCCACATTTTGTAGACATGCAGTTATCTGAACATCAGTTATCTTTAAACCCAGATCCATTTTTCTGCTTCACACAATTCTTTCCTGCATTTTTACCCCCACTGACCACAATTATCCAGCGATTTCCCCTTTCATAGCAGTTCCTCCTTTTTGTCCATTTGATGAGTGTTCAGTGCTGCTCAATGCATCAAAATCAGTGAATGAGTAATTTAGTACAGTATGTCCTCACAGTCCACTCCTAATAGGCTCTGGTTGTGTTGTCCTTCATTCTAGAATTAGAAAATGCATGTGCATAAAAAGCTCTAAAGGCATCTGAATGTACATTTTGCCTATGTTGTCTGTCTCAGTGCTTTTGCATTTTGTCAGCAAATGATTGTGGTTCGTCCAAGTTATGTTTTCTACTCGGTGTCTTCTTGTGTTAAACTGTTATAGTGATTGATATTTTTTGCTTCACTGGTTTGTGTCTTATCTATCCTCCTTGTGTGTGTTTTGTGTGTGTGTGTTTGGGTTTGGCACAGGCTGGCATCGCAGGAGCACCGGCTCGAGCAGTGTCAGCGGTTAAGAACATGAACCTCCCGGAAATGCCCAAAAACATCAACATCGGTGACATCAGCATAAAAGTGCCAAATTTACCCTCCTTCAAATAGCGACGGCAAGATTCATAAGCCTTGAGGCATTGGCTGATGTTTACCGTGATGCAATCTGTTTACCAAAACTCAAATTATTACCCTTCCTTCAGTCAGGAAGGTACTGTGTGATTTCACTCCGTGTTGTAGTGTTATATGCTTGGTTTTATTATTGAACATCATATTATGTATTTTGTTTTTTTTCTGTTTGAAGAAGAAGTATTTAAGAGATTTACATTCCTTCTGCCTCACTGGAGGTTGGCTCGTAGCATTAAGCATCTCTAGATCTGTGGCAATTTGTTACTGAAATAAAAAAGGTGTTTACTCCAAAGAAGGTATGGTACTTTTTTTTTTTTCTTGGGGGCAGCAGGCATTTAAGTGAAGAATATTTCAGATCATTTGCAGTGCTTTGGATATAAATTAAAGAATAATGTTATAATAAATTAGAAAAAACAGAAACTTGGCTGCATATAAAAGCAGCTTTTTTCCTTAAGAGTACCGGTACATGGACCATTTTAAAAGATGTCATGATTTATGAAATGATTATATAGTTTTTTTCTTGTCTATGATTTTCTTGGCTTCTTTTTCAACAATAAACTGACAAAACTCAATGTGTGTTGTTGAATTATTCCCTTCGTATTACCATCTTATACTGTATTTGGGTTTCATAAAACACAATGTATAACATACTGAAGCATTGCTTATTGTGTCACTGCACCATGACTGCACAGTCATCTCAGTGTTGGTTAGCTTATTGTTAATATTCAAAATATTACTAAAGCATGCAATATTTGTTGGCCAATCTGAAATTAGAATTGCACATTGTTTATGCTGATATTATTAGCCTTTTGGATCCAACTGCAGTAGATGGCAATGCCTGACATAGATTATGGTTTTTCCAGATGCTTAAGGTCATATAAATCTTTGAAGCATCATAATTTGCAAATGTAGACGAGAGAAAAGAAGGAAATATGGATTCATTGCAGTGTGTACAGTTATGGTAAATTAAACAATCGTACATCACATGATTTTTTTTAATGTTGGGCATCCTCAAAAACCCTTATGAGCTCCTGGCTACTGCTTTAGACTTCATGTGGAAAGTTTAGCTGCTACACTACTGTGCAGTAATGTTCAGATTAGCTGCAGGGGATTGCTTCTGAGAATTTTCTTTTCAACAGGCAACCAGTGATAGAATGATGAATAAAATCTTTGTTTCAAATGAACCCAGAGCTTGACTCATGCATATATTTTGCTTTTCAGTCAGTAGTTCTTCAGGCTTTACTTGAGATGGTGTAATTTTTTCCATCATGAAGAGCATTTGCCATAGTCTTTTAGAAGTGGATAGCATGAAGAAAGTGTTGGGTTTAGAACATAACAAATTAACTGCATTTGTAGAATGCTTAAGGAAAGAAATATGTATACGGTATGTTTTTGGAAATCACCTATTTGGTGCTAAATCCTTTTTTTTTTTTTTTACATTCCTGTGAAATATTTATTCCCCCTTTACAAATCTCTTTATTTTTGCCCCTTAAAATGGCTTAAGTCATAAATAGAGAGCATTTTAATTTAATAGAATAGAAAGTCCCTTTATCCCTTTACAATGGGTAAATTGTGGTGTTACAGCAGTAAAAGGTTATAGCAGAAGTGGTAACACAATGTGGACCTTAGAAAGTGTATAAAAATAACAGAATTCGTGACAGAGTTAAGACAATTAAGTACGGTACCATATTAGACTTAGACTTCCTTTATTGTCATTGCACAAAAAAACACAAGGTGAGTCTTGACAACGAAATGTCGATTACTTGGCTACCAGTGTAACAGATTAGTCCTTATTCCTGCACAATAAATATGTTTTCTATGAGTAAGAGCTAGCTGTCTATATACATGGTAAAGAGTATACTGTATATACACGTATATATTGCACTGATTTAAATACTGTGTACCAGGAGAGTTGATAATCAATAAACAGCTGTGGACATTTTTACAGTAATGGATATGTTAAAAAAAAAAAAAAATATATATATATAGCACCATCAGATATGTGCAAAATGACAGCAGCATGTTATTTAACTGACCAAGACAGAAACAGCAAAAATCAGCATGAAACTTATTGAGGTTGTTGGTTATAGAGTTTTACAGCTGCTGGTAGGAAAGATCTGGGATAACGCTCCCTGGTGCATTTAGGGTGCAGCAGTCTGTCACTGAAGGAGCACTCCAGTTCTGCAACAGCTTCATGCATGGGGTGGGAGACATTATCCAATAGAGATGTTATTTTAGTTAGGATCCTTTTGTTTCCCACCATCTGCACTGAGTCCAGAGGGTATCCCTGATCAGCTTATCCAGTCGCTTTCACTCAGCTGCAGATAAGCCACTGCTCCAACAGACTGCTCCATAGAGGATGGCTGTCATAGAAGGTCTTTAGGAGTGTCCCCTGCACTCCACATCAGTCTCCTCAGCAGGAAGAGTCTGCTCTGACCTTTCTAGTAGAGAGCTTTAGTGTTGTGAGTCCAGTAAGGTTTGTTATTCAGGTGAACACCTAGGTACTTATAAGAGTCCACTATCTCAATGTCATACCCATTTAAATGTATTTTTTAGATCACAGTTTTATTTATTGAGGATGAAACGTTGTCAAAGCTCACTCTGTCAGGATATAATTGTCCACTTCGTTTAGTTTAGTGTTACAGATGCAGCTAGGCCTGATCAAAGCATGACTTACTTTTAATAAAACCAAAGTCCGTTTGTCATTAAAAAAAAACAAAAACGGATAGGCCTCTGAAACAGTTTGTCCATCGCTCTTTCCGTAGACCACTCTCTCTCACACGTGACTGCCTTGTGACAACCGGAAGCAGGAACAATAACATCAGCGTGAGGATGCTGCCACAGTTTTGATATAGTTTTTTATCTTTATTAGTAAAGCAAAGTCAGACATGACTTCCATCATTAAGGAAACGCAAAGGTAGGCTCGCTTCTCTTTTTTTTTTTTTTTTAGGCCCAGTTTAATCTGGTCGGTCATAGTTAGCATGTAGCGCCTGAACCGACCTTTATTTAATAATAATAATTGAACTTTATTGATCTCACATTGGAGAAATTTACCTCTGCATTTAACCCATCCCCTTAGGGAGCAGTGGGCTGCCACTGTGGGGCACTGTGTGGGGTTAAGGGTCTTTGCTCAGAGACCCAGAGTGGCACTCTGTGGGAGTGGGGCTTGAACTCAAAACCTCAGGATTTCAGGCTCTATAATAACCGCAAATAATAAATAGTGTTTTGTTTTTTAACCCTGTATTCTTCTTGACATATATGTGTTACAGCCAGCATTAACTGTGGCGGACATGTACAGTACAGAGCAAAAGTTTGGACATACCTTCTCATTCCTTTGATGAGCTTCTAGAGGTAGTCACCTGAAATGGTTTTCGCTTCACAGATGTCCCCTGTCTGGGTTAATTAGTGGGATTTCTTGCCTTATAAATGGGGTAGGGACCATCAGTTGTGTTGTGCAGAAGTCAGGTGGATACACAGCTGATAGTCCTACTGAATAGACTGTATTATGGCAAGAAAAAAAGCAGCTAAGTAAAAAAATGAGTGGCAATCATGACTTTAATAAATGAAGGTCAGTCTGTCAGAAGAATTGGCAAAACTTTGAAAGTGTCGCAAAAACCATCATGCGCTGCATGAGGACCGCCCCAGGAAAGAGACCAATAATAACCTTTGCTTCGAAGGATAAGTTCATCCGAGTCACCAGCCTCAGAGATCGCAGTTTAACAGCACCTCAGATTAGAGACCAGGTCAATGACACACAGTTCTAGCAGCAGACACATCTCTAGAAAAACTGAATCAGGCCTTCATTGCAAAATAGCTACTTGGAAACCACTGCTAAGGACAGGCAGCAAGCAGAAGAGACTTGCTTGGGCTAAAGAACACAAGGAATGGACATTAGACCAGTGGAAATCTGTGCTTTGGTCTGATGAGTCCAAATTTGAGATCTTTGGTTCCAACCATTGTGTCTTTGTGCGACGCAGAAAAGGTGTACGGATGTACTCTACATGCATGGTTCCCACTGTGAGGCATGGAGGAGGAGGTGTGATGGTATGGGGGCACTTTGCAAGTGACACTGTTGGGAATTTATTTAAAATTGAAGGCATGCTGAACCTGCATGGCTACCACAGCTTTTTGCAGCTGCATGCTATTCCATCGGTTTGCGTTTAGTTGGACCATCATTTATTTTCAACAGGACAATGACCCCAAACACACCTCCAGGCTGTGTAAGGGCTATTTGACCTAGGAGAGGTGCGCAGATGGCCTGGCCTCCACAATCACTGGACCTGAGATGGTTTGGGGTGAGCTGGGCCGCAGAGTGAAGGCAAAAGGGCCAACAAGTGCTAAGCATCTCTGGGAACTCCTTCAAGACTGTTGGAAGAACATTTCAGGTGAAAACCTCTTGAAGCTCATCAAGAGAATGCCAAGAGTGCGAAGCAGTAATCAAAGCAAAAGGTGGCTACTTTGAAGAACCTAGAATATAAGACATATTTTTGGTTGTTTCAAAATTTTTATTAAGTATATAATTCTACATGTGTTAATTCATAGTTCTGATGCCTTCAGTATGAATCTTTAATATTCTAAGTCATAAAAAATAAAGAAAACTCTCTGAATGAGAAGGTGTGTCCAATCTTTTGTTCTGTAATGTATACATGTCTTCTGAAATGAAACTCATTATTATAGCTTACCAGTTTTTCAAAACAGGCTTTTTCTTTAAAATGTTGAACTTCTTATGATGCAATATATAAAGCGTATATGTTTTTTTGTTACTGGAAATATTCTAAAGGTGAGTTGTCTTTTTCTGAAGAGAAAAAAAAATATTTTAGCTTTATTTCAGACAGCTTGCTGAAATTGCACAGGACAGATAGTTATGCTTTACTGCTGCATTAAACTATCCTCCTTAAAACTAAAAAAACTTGCGCTTACTCCAGCACTTTTTAAGGAAACAGTTATGAAGGAAAATAATGATTGTGCTCAAACCACAATGCTTAAGAATAGGAATGGAATTATTGGAATACCTCAAATAAAAATGTGTATTTGTAGTCTTTCACACATAAATATCAGTAGAATCAGAATGGGACCTAAATGTTTCTATTCAGCCAAAACTTTACCTGTGAAAAAAGGTTGTTGTATTATTTAAATTAACCTTATTCTAAATTTATAATCTTTACAGCACATAGACACCAGGTAAAAAAAGAAGAAAAAAAAAGACAAACACCTTTATACTAATAAAAGAGGTTTGATTGTTTTAGACTTGCTGTAATTTCTGACCTTGATTTGTCTTAACGAAGCATCACTCCTTTCTCTGGCTCTAGATTAGGGGTTTCTATAGCATTTTTGGTTGCTATAGTTTGCCAGTTTTGGTCCTTGGAATGTATTTGTATTGCTTCTGGCTGCAATAGTCCAAATCTGGCATGTTTTTTTTTTTTTTGAAGAAGATACATTTTTTTAACGTTAAAAGTGAGCTTACAAATAGACGTTTTCCTTTCTTAACCACTTTTTCTTAGATTGTCATTTAATGGAAATGAGGACAAGTAATGGTAACTGACTTACTTAATAGGATCAGGCAGATAGAAACCTGTAAAAAGCCAAAAAACTGAACACATTCTTCAACAGGTTCCGTTCATGATCAAGCTCTGCATCCTTCTCTCAACCACTGTCAAACAGACATCCCATCTTTCCTTGATCCAAAGCTTCCTTCTTACACCTCAAATGTTTTGTCCTTCACCTCTCTCATGGACCCTTCTACTTCTATGGACTTGTTCTCTGACAAATCAGATATGGATCAGCTGTCTAATCAAGTAGTTAGCACCACAGTAGACCGTACTATCGCCTTTTTTACACTTCTGACCTCCACTACAAGACAGAGTCCTGTCATCTGCGTAAATACTCCAATTACTCTGCAGTCATTGGTTGCATCAGAGATGGAGTACAGAGAGCTGGTGAACCGCTTTGTGACATGGTGTGGAGACAATTTATCCTGAATGTCAACAAAACAATGGAGATTAATTATTTTTCCATCGTTGGAGAAGAGTGGAAGTGGTTGAGGAGTAATAATACTTTTGTGTTCACCTCGACAATAAATTAGACTAGAGAGACAACTTTGAAGCCGTCTAAAAGAAGAGATGGAGCAGACTGTACTTCCTAATGAAGCTTCGGTCCTTCAGTGTTTGCAGCAACAGGCTACAGATCTTCTATAAATCTGTTGCAGAGTGTGATCCCTTCTACCATCACCTGTAGGGGTAATATAATCAGAGCAAATGATTTAGAGAAGCTCAACAAGCTGAAGATTCTGCACTGGAAAAACAATCTAGAAAAAAGTAAAAATATCTTAAATTAAGTGTATTTACCCATAATTTGAGGAGGTAAATGAGATAGTTTGCCAATGGCATGAATATTTGTAATCTTAAAATGAGATAATTTGATAAAATCCACTTGAATTAAGACAATGCAATCGTGTTTTCTTATTTTAAATATAAATAGTCTTGTTCCATTGGCAAAATGCATCGTTTAACTCCTCAATCCAAGAAGAAATTAACTTATTTTAGGAAAAAATGACTTATCTAGATTGATTTTTTTTCCCAACGTGTGCTACCTGGGTTGTTACTCTTCAAAAACATTTTCAAATGTTCTTTTTAAACAGCATCAAAGATGCAGTGGCTTTCATCAACACCATTGATGTGAACAAGTTCTCCAGGCTGCTCTCCCGCATCATACAGAAGCTCCATGTGAAGGTAGACATACTGCCAAGTACCATGTAAAGCAATCACAAGAGAAGGGATTGGGTCAAAGCTCCTTTTTAATCCCCTTGTTATTTAAAAGGAGTTTATCTTATCTTTTCTGAAATTTTACTGTTTTCTCTTCTAGTTTTTGGGTTTTCAAATGGGACTGTTTTTATACCTCTGTTCTTCATTTTAATCTTATTTTATGTGCAGTTTGTGACTCCTTTGTAACCTTAATATAATTCGATTTCAAAATGTTTTCCTTCATCCTTGTCTCTTTATAAAATATGTTCATCGTTAGCTCAGAAGCATTATTATCAAATCAAACAGGACGCTTGTCAAATTTCTTTACTGCAAATTAGTTAGTTTTTATGATTTTTTTTTTTTTACTTACCCTTCTATTTCTTTTTTTGCTTTAAAGGGTGAACGGACATTCAGTGAAGAGGAAGAACAAAAACTCCAGGCTGCTCTGTCATTAGATAAAAATGCTCTCGACTTGGTCCTGGAAACAGCTGCCTTTATTCTTGAGCAGGTGCGTAACTGACCTCCAGAGGAGTTTATACAATTTTATACAGAGACTAGTTGAGCAACGTCTTCTGGTTTTATTTATTGAACATCCATTTTTTTTTTTTTTTTTTTTTTTTTACATTTAAAAATAATGAGAAAAAAATGTTCTGCTAGATTTCTAGTAATTTGATAAGTTTACAGACTAGACCTTTCTGTAAATTTTAACATACTGAAGTTTTATTGTATTTAAATGTGCCATAACAAGGACTCCTGATACACTCAATAAAATATGTACAAGTAATATTATTGCATGAAAATTGATGATTTTAAATCGTATTCACACTCTTGTTTCTCCAGCAGGGGTCACTGTTGTGTTGTGAATGGCTGTGTAATAAAACAGTGTTTTAATAAATAGAGTTTTACTTATACAAGAGCTTGGAAGAAACATATTTCACCTCCTCAGTTATTGGCACCCCTCGAAACATTTGTAAACACAAAACGGGAATAAATACTTTTTTTGCCACAGTTCTCTAAAGGAAATCAGATTTTTCTATTTATTGTGCCAGGTAGTTTTGTCTTGTGGCTAACCTTAAACTGTAACCTTAAATCTGACTTTCTTGAACTGCACATTCCCTTGCCTTGTCCACTGATTAACTTAAGATAATACATAGGCTACAAATATACATTGTTCACAATGTATCCTGTAGGATGTATTTTTAGGATGAAAAACTTCTCAAATAGTTATCTCTACTCACATTATAGAACACTGTATTTATAAACAGTACATTTAAATTTTTTTTTACTAAGTTTGATCAATACTAGGATTGAAGGAGTACAAAATTATTGTTTTATTTTGGTTATAAATAATTTGTTATGAAGTTACTTTGATAATTGAGTCATTTAATTTATTTAAAATGGCCTCATTCTGTCCTCTTGTAGGCAGTGTATCACAGCATAAAGCCGGCCGCTCTGCTGCAGCAGCTTGAGCAGATCCATCTAAACCCAGATAAAGCTGAGGTGTTTTCCCAGTCCTGGGCCTCTGCTGGACCTGAGCTGGTCGAGAAGCTGAAGCGCAACACCTTTGCCCCTAAAAAGGTAGGCCCAGTTATAAGCTAAAACATTTTTATTTTTCCAAGTGTCTGTATACACAGACTGAGAAGTGTTTAGCAATGTTTTCTAAAATAACAAATAAATGAAATTAATATAAAGAAAATGTTGAAACAGTACAAAATTATCACCCATATGACCCTAGTGCATTACCTGTTATGCTGTACAGTAGAGATTGACTGATACAGGAATTTTAAGGCTAATGCAGATTATTTTTACATTAGTATAACTTTTTTAAATGCATGCTGCCAATATTTTCCTGCTGATTCTTAGGCCAATATCGTTTTTTTCCTCTTCATTTACATAATAAAAATTAAACTATGATTGTTCTAATGAATGAGCTAAAGCATGCACGTGTCAGCTACAAGATACAAGGAAAAACATTTATATTGTTCAGACAAATTTAGGGTTCGCCACAGCAAGTAGCTTGAAGACACTTCCAAACACCAAACACCATTCCTGATGCAATGGGGTTTTAAACCTTGATCCGCTGCATTACAGTCACAGACTTCAACCATTACACCTTGGGTTCTAATTCCTTTCCCCTGTTCCTATCTCAAAAAATCCTGTCAAATATTACACCTGTTATAACATTAAAGTTTTAGGCTTCTTTCTGTCTGCGACTTCATCAAAGAGTGACACTTCAAACGGGCTTTCCCTTCAAGAGACACGATCTAACCCAGAGGAAATAAACAGCATGTAGATATTAAGCTGAAACTGGTTTTGCTGTCACGCTTTCAGATGTCTCACCTGCCTCTGTCTTATAAGTCATCTCTCCCTCCCCCATGACTTAGTAAGTCGAAGGCGGTGACAGTAACTGATTCTCTGGAGGCCATCTGCTGCTGCTGTGACTTTGAGCAACAGTTGACGTGAATGTTAACCACCCTCTGTAGCTGATGAGTTTAGGTTTGTCTGTCATGCACTTTTATCGTGACTTTAAAATAGATCCTTGTATTCAGTAAATATTTGAACTGTGTTGTATTATCTTCAGGTATGTTGGGTAAAACTTTGTAAAGAATTTATTTGCTATAAATTGGCTACCAGTTTGACAAGCAAACAATAAAGTTGAACCGTTTTGTTTTTTTCTTCTTTTTAAAATGTTCAGAAAATACTACAAATACTCTCTCGGCTATATGAAGTTGATGTGCTTTGTCCCTGCAGACAGCCTGGTAAAAACTAAAATAGTTCATCTTCAAATACATGGCTTTCTAGGTTATTAACGTAATAGGTGATACAGGGATTTTGTTTTACAAAACATCAAAATTAGAGTAAATAGTCAGAATAATGAGTGGATGTGGGAGCTTCAGCCAGTTTTTATTCCTTTGTGTTATAGTCCATTAATCAAAGGAGAACAAATGCCACTAATCATGAACAATCTGTTACATTTACAAATCCAGCTTTAGAAACTCAACTAATATAAATGAAAGCAAGTATCTCTTCATATAAATGCAGCTAAGTCCAGATATGTCATCTTAAGAAATTTAGCAAATTCAGCTTTTACTTACTGAGCTAAGTAAGTAGCTTTTAGTTATTGTGTCACCATCAATGGTGAAATTCCTTTTGAAGTGCTTGCTTTGCCAGTTATGGTTGAATGCTGTAGCACAGAGTTATATTTTAGATAAACTGCTCACAGGTCAGCGTAGAAGCTGATCCAGAATGCTGCTAGCATCCTCACCAAAACTAGGGAAACTGAGCTCATCACCCCCGTATCCCAGAAAATAGACTTTAGAATATTTTGTTAGTCAATAAATCACTGGATGGTTTAGCAACATAATACATCACAGGCTTCAGTCAGTGCATCAAACACCGAGACCTCTCAGGTCTTCTGCCCTAAGTCTACTCTACAAACACAGGCAAACATGTTTAGCATTTAATACTCCAGAAAACTGTAAAAATGCTTTAAATCCAGATTGCAAACATAGGTTTTAAGTGTGGCCATAATTAGTAAAGTTTTCATTTAAAAATGTCTTCTGTATTTATCAATCATTGTATCTTTTTTTAATATAATCGTCATTATTGATTCTTCATTTTTATTATCTTTAATCATTAAAGTTGCCTTTACAACACTGCAGGGTTCTTTCTCTTTTCTTCCTTGGTAAAGCACTTTAAATTGTTATGCTTATAAAAAGTGCTGTATAAATATACTTGCCTTGCCTTGTTCAAATCTTATTTTCTGGAGATGGATTTGTTTCCATACCCTGAAATTAAAATGGTTAACATAATAACATTGTGATGCCGGCATCGTAAATAATGTTGCAGCGCTTTCCTCTAACTTACTGCTGTTCCCTCATCCTGCAGAGGGATCCCAACCCAATAAGTCACTCTCAGTTTATTATTATGGCCTCCGTCTGAATCATAAAACACTTAGATGTCCCGCCTTGACTCAGTGCTGCTAATCTTTCACGCTGCATCAGCTGACTGATGAACCCCCGCTGTGTAAATCAGCCAAACTGGAGCAGAAAGAGGCAGGAATGCTATGAGGCAGGATAACCTGAAGGCTGTAGGAAATGTGCAGGATTCATAATTACTGTAAATACTGCTAATAACTATAGTCGAGAGTAAACACAGGCTGCTGATAGAAATCCAAGTATAAAGAAATGATAGTATTACATTTTAAAATATTTCTTTTATTTCAAACTGTTCCTAGTAGGGCTGCAGCTAACAATTCCTTCTATCGACTTTTCAGATGATTCCTTGGATGATTGGATACAAGATTCCACATATATTTTTCTTTAACTACTAAAACTTACCTTATGTTTAAAATGTATATTGCACAAATAAAACAAAAGGTTAAAAAAAATAAAACAGAACTGTATCCAAATTCTGCTTTTAAGTGCACTGTAGGGTGGGCAGTTCTGATATGCTTATGAAGGCCTCTCAGGGAACCCTCTGGTTAATGTATTTTTTACTATGCAGTATATGTTGTGAATTCCTATATCTTTAAACTGCAGCTTGAATACAAAGTATATATCCTGTTTCTGCACTTTTTGTCCTAACTACAACTACTTATCCTACAACTTGTAGGTTTTCTTCACTGCAGATAGCATTCCTTACTGGTTATATTGTCCTTTTAGCGATTATTTGATTGCTAAATTATAAATTAATATTAATTTATGATTACTTTAGATAATCAAATAAAATTAAAGATTTAATTCATAAAAACATTGTGTATAACTTATGATCCACATATAATTACATTATATGTAAAATAAAATTATGTCAGATAAGAGTATGAAGTATGAAGAAGTGAAAACTATGCAATCATTCCCTTTTTCCTTTCCATATTTCTTAACTCCAACATTCGTCCACATTACAATTTAATTCAATAAATAATAATGAATAATAAAAATAATAAATACATTTCTGTAAATATAAACATAACTATATGCATTCACCTATGCCCACCCACATCTTGATTTATACAATAATTACCCACATGTGCCCACATGTCCACAATCATTATAAAGCTATGTTGATGTTCATCTCCCATCTTTCACCTCATAGCTATTCAAGAAAACCAGCTTGAGCCTTTTCCTAAATAGCCTCATGCTTGGACATTGCATTTTATTTAACATCAAATTCTTTTCAGTTGACTATTATTTCAATAATGGCTTGATCGGAAGACCTTTTTTCAACCTTACTTAAACTAGTAACATTTGTATTTTAAGCTGGACTTTGTCAGCTGGCAGCTGAACCTGCAGATGGCCCAGTCCAGCCAGGCGCGTTTGAAGTCTCCCAGTGCTGTCCTGCAGCTAGGAGTACGTAACGAAGATTCTGAGGTATGTGCACACTGACGCATGACCTACATGACCTCTTTCTATTAGCTGTGTTTCAGTTATACTTAAATACATCTACCTGCTTTTCATGCAAGAAAAGAATCATCATTGGTTCTTCTTTTTTTCTTTTTGCTTCTTTTTTGGTTTTGTTATTTGCTGGTTATCCCAAAGCAGTCAGTCTTGGCTAAAGGATAGCCCAGCATCTGGCTCTAGAGAAACTATAGTGTAAAGAGCAGAGATCAGGGAGCTTGTTACATGAAGCCTCCAGTGTCTCTTCATTATCTTTAGAGTTGCACTTTGAAGCTAAAAATTGACTATTTGTTATATTAACTCTATAGTTCTGCCTTATGAAGGGGTTTACTAAATTATTATTATTTTTGTTTTTAATAAGCTTAATATTTTCTATACATGTTTCTAAACGAGCATTATGGCAAGACTTAACAATACATATTAGAAAGTGTGCAGATATCATGTAGGACATTTCCATTCTGTTCCTATTAATTTTTTCTCATCAATTTTATTTTTATTTTTAATTGGAATGAGCTTTGATTCATTTAACAACCATAGATACTTATCATGGTGCTATTAAAACTCTAATAAACTGTGAAAATATATATTCTGAGGTTTGAATGCCTCATAAATGCCCCACTTTTTGATGTCATGGATGCTGAAATCTTTAGTTAGCGTTAGCCTCCACTTGGTTGGCAGTGGCGGCTGGTGAAAAATATTTTTGGTGGGGCTGATATAGCCTAGTGTATGTCTCCAACTAATCCGGAATAAGAATTCAAATAAACAATTGGAAATTAAATACAATTTAACAGTAATGATTTAATTTACTATATAATAACAGTAACAGTGATGATTTGGGTCACTGTGACGGGGTTCTTTGGCCTCCAAGAATCCAGGCTCAGTCGGGTTACCGGTGTTGGTGATTTATTGTGCTCAAAAACTCAAAACAGGGTGCAAAAGAAACTAAACATATACAAGATACTCTGGGCCTCAGCCTCCCTCCAGCAATGTAACAAAGAAACAGAAAACAGAAATGGCCGCTCTTCTTCCCACAGCCCTCATTAAATAGTTTAAGCCCCTCACCTCAGGCTCTCTTATTTCTGATTTCTTCTCATAAATCAGTTTTGTCCATCTATTACCTCCACAAACAATTGATGTACAAAAACAAATAATTTTTACAACTTAATTCATTTACACAGATTCATTGACTTATTCAATTACACCAAACTGGGTTTGAACCCAGCAAAGACGCAGCCAGACTGAAGATGACAAGTCCCCATAGCATAAACACGTACACACACACGGCTAACCTCACTGAAATATTAAGTGTGCACCCTCAATACGCCAGCAGGTAACCAGGAACAGCTTGTGTGTTTTAAGTTAATGGACCGCTACTGGGCTCAGCGCGAGTGTATTGGTCCTCACAAGCACAGTATAAAAGGAATGTGTGTGTGGCACGCAAAGTTAGATAGGTTATTTTAAGTAATGAGGTGGATTCGTCACAGTCACAATAACCATGACAGGAAATTTTCACATCCTACAACAGGGATGTTCTTCTGGCAAATGGGTAGATAAATACGGATCTCACCGAATTTGGTGGAAGCTGCACCTCACTCGTTACGTTCGCCATCGTCCCTCTAATTGTCTGCACCTGCGCTTGGGTGCAGAAGCCTGTTAAAGGGCAGTATTTTCAGAGCCCAAAGACCATAAAATTCTGAGACGCTGATTGGCCATTAAATTATTAAATTCACCTACTGTAGCAATAGTACATGATTGGCAGATTCTCTGCAAATGTGGGGCGGTCTGATCAGACCCCCAAGACAGAGACGGTAGGAGTCTGTCTGTGGAAATCCACAAATAAATGACAGTAGATAGGGAAATGTAGTTTATACAATTTGTTTTGCTTATAGGTACACACTCTAGAGAGTAAAACTGACATTTATGAGTTAATTTCTAAAAATATATTTTACGTTTCTCTCTTCTTATCAGGGAGGGCGGTGCCCCAGCGCCCCCTATGGGCCGGCCGCCACTGTTGGTTGGTCTGATTATCCTATGAGCATGGGTGCTGTTGTTCCAGCTGAATAGTTTTAGTTAGTGTTTTTCCTGCTTGTTTCTTTGGGCTCTGCCCCAAGGCAATGTAGTCTAAACCCAAACTTGTAATAAGACATGACATGTTCAAATCTTTTATCTTTCCTGGGAACCTCAAGACGTAAAAAAATAGTTATGTGAAAGAATGATTTTTCAATACTTAACATGGAGTGGATTCTATTGTATTTCCCCGGGCTTTAAAATTAAGTATTAATTTATCTAAATGCACCTTTTCCTCTCATTGGTGGGGAAATTTGGCTGAAAATAAGCCCTACCAAAAACCTCAGAGAGCCATTACTTTTGTCTTCCTGCAGGGGGCACTGTTGTTTCATTTGTTGAAAAACATTCTCCTTAGAAGCACCAAGATGCTTCTTAGATGGATAGAACTCTTCTAACTGAGATGATGCAAATTCATTTTTTGCACAGTTTTTAGATATCTGACTTTCACTTGCTGTTTTCCGAGAATAGTTTTCTTCTCTCTTCCTTAAAATTTCTCTTTGCAACTTCTGATTCGTAAAAGCGTCACAGGAACTCAGAGATTCACCTGCGGGTGCATAACGGTGATTACCACACAGGTTATACACCCTGGATGCTGCTAATTGCCTAAAGGAGAAATAGAGCTGTTAATTGGAGAACAAGGAAAATTAAAAGGTGATGAGGAAGGATGTGGCAAGACATACAAGTGAAATCGGATGTGAAAACAGCCAAGAAAGGGTAAAGGTCATGCAATAGTGATGATAGGGAGGATGAAGGAGTGGAAGGCAAGACTAGTGCTCTAGATTTTATTGATTTCTATGGAAGCTAAGTGGAGAGTTAGAGACTCTTGCATCTAACCAGCCTCCTGCTTTATTAGAACTCTCCCTAAAGAGCAGAGGGGGAGGAAAGCTGCCAAAGCATCTCATATCTCTTTCCTCCAATCAATTTGTGCCATGAAATGCTTCATGAGTGGAGTCCATGAGTTGTTTTAAACTGAACAACAACTACAGTTTGGGGTAGTATCCTTTACCTTTAAAAGATTGTACCTAGCAAAACATGTTTCAAAGTTAATAAAAAAAAAAAAAATGAAAATTTGAAAAGGGAAAAGTAGACTAACATTGGAACTGAGCACAGAGAAAAGTTGGATGGATAAAAGCAGTATAGAGAGGATTGGATTTCAGGATGTCATTTTGCAAACCTGTTCTAGTCCTCTGGTTTGAATCACAGCATACTCATGGACTAGAACTGCTTAATCCAAGTCCAGGCCTATATTAAACTAAGGTTATGTGGGGAGAATCAGAAGAATAGGCTCAAGATGATGGAAGCTAGTAGGATTACCCCAAATACTTAAAACTGTATTTGCAGTAAAATGTGGTTCTAAAAAGTGTTGACTTCAGGAGGTTAAAGGAATAGTACACCCAAAACATGATTAGCCTTCATTTTCTACTCACCCCCATGCTGAACAACACTCTGAAGTACTTTTTTGATTTCTCAAATGCATCTGGAGATCTGGGAGGCTTCTTGCTGTCTGCTGACATTCAAATAATGGAGGTGCCCAGCGCCCGAGGCAGAAAGGTCCATAAAAGTCCACAAAAAACGTGTCAATATTCCTCCATACTGCTCGTCCAATGTATTCCAAGTGTCGTGAGTGGGTAGCGTCCATAATTTACTCGAAACAAAGTCATTTAGAATGTTTTTAGAGCATAAACAGTAGTGTATAGGATTTCCTAAAAGCGCGTTCACGAGTCTACGGAAACCGCGGCAGACCAAACCAGATGAAAGTGCGCATTCAGCTCGGCAAAGAACTCATGCTCTTCCTCAACACTGAAGTCCTCAGACATTTTTCTTTCGTTGTTTCTTTCTTTGCACAGGTAAACAGCACATTTCTTCTTCTACGCTTGCATTATCGGCAGAGCAGACACTGAATGCGCACTTTCATCTGGTTTGGTCTGCCGCGGTTTCCGTAGACTCGTGAACTCGCATGCGCGCGCTTTTAGGAAATCCTATACACGCAGAGTGGAAATCCTATATATACGCAGAGTGGGAGAATAGAGATAGAATGAAGCAGAATGATGAAAAATGGGTTCTTATATCCTCCAGAAGTCTAAACCTATAGCAGCATAACTATAGAGATAGCTCAGGATAGCCTGAGCCTCTCTAACTATAAGCTTTACCAAAAAGGAAGGTTTTAAGCCTACCCTTAAAAGTAGACAGGGTGTCTGCCTCATGGACTAAAACTGGTAGTTGGTTCCACAGGAGAGGAGCCTCATTACTGAAAGATCTGCCTCCCATTCTACTTTTAGAAAGTCTAGGAACCACTAGTAAACCTGCAGATTGAGAGCGAAGTTCTCTTTTAGGAACACAATGAAAAATGATATCTCTGATATAAGATGGAGCTTGGCCATTTAAGACTTTATATGTGAGAAGGAGGATTTTCTTTTCCGAATTTAACAGGAAGTCAATGAAGGGAAGTCAGGATAGGAGAGATATGATCTCTCTTTTTAATTCTCTGCAGCATTTTGGATCAGCTGAAGGCTTTTAACTACAGTTTGTGGACTTCCTGATAGTAAAGAATTACAATAGTCCACAAATGTATGAACAATCATGCAATATCAAGTTTTTAGTGTTGAAATGTCAGATAGAAATTCCAGTAAAATGCATTTTTTTAAATGTAAAGACTTTTACTTGTATTATTTTGCTTTAAATGTTGGGACAGCTATCAAATACTAAAAAATTTTTTTTATTAATTTTAGCATTTATAAAATGGGTTTGCATGGGTGTTTGTATGGCACTGTATGTTGAATGCCATCACGTTAAAATTATTAATCCATATTTCTGCTTCTTATAAAGACGTTTGAAAATGTTTTAGCACAGCTAGAATGAAAGACCTGTTGAACAGCTCGAAAGATCAATCTGAGTCTATTTCTACC